CAGAAGCGAGGCCACCTTTGTCACTCGGCAGCTGAGGAACAGGACCGGAGAGGGATATCGGCACAGATCCATCAGGCCCCAACGCCCTGAGTCTCTGCATTCCCTCCAGCACCCCAGTCAAAGGGCCCCGCCCTGCGCTCTTACAGAGCAAATGGTGAGGGATCAAGTCAGGGCCAAAAGGTTCAGATTGCCCCTGCATGTGGAGGTTCAGCTCAGTCTTTTTATGCCTATGAGATTTTCCTCAGTGTGCATTTAGTTGATTATATAAACAATTTTGTTACATGAATTTATATAAATAAAACACCATTTTTGAAAAAATCCCCTTTTAGAGCTGGAGAGAGCTCGGTGGGCTGACTGCAGGCTTTGCACACGGAGACCTGGGTTCTGTCCCTGGCATAACCTGGCTCCCATAAGCACTGCTGGGAGACAGATGCCAGAAACCACAGATTTCTCTTTTGGAAAAAGACTTGGGGGGGGGGGGGCTGGAGCAGTAGTACAGCAGATAGGATGTTTGCCTTCCACACTGCTGACCCTGGTTCCATCCCTGGCGTCCCATATGGTCTTCCGAGCACTACCAGGAGTGATCCCTGAGCAGTGAGCCAGGAGTAAGCCCTGAGCATTTTTCTTTTCCCCTCCCGTTGATCGTCGATTTGCTCGAGTGGGCCCAGTAACGTCTCCATTGGAGACTTTGTTGTTACTGTGTCTGGCATATCGAATACTCTCGGTAGCTTGCCGGGCTCTCCAAGAGGGGCGGAGGAATTGAACTCGGGTCGGCCATGTTGGCCGCTTGTAAGGCGAACGCCCTACCCGCTGTGCTATCGCTCCAGCCCTGAGCCCTGAGCATTATGGCCTCAAAATCAAATAACTAAAACGAACTTAGACCAAAATTGGAGAAAGAGCAAATGAGGTAATTTATGAAGGGTTCTTTTTGAGGGCTCATTCTATTAAATTGAAGTTTTCTGCATCCTCTCAGGTCAAGGCAAAGTGCTGTGCTGGCGGTCACTGTGAGATGTCACCTAGCATGTTGAGAAGGGTCGCCCAGCATCTTAGCCCCACTCAGAGGAGACCCCTGAGTTCACAGCCTGGCCACTCCCCGTCATCATTGGCTTCCCTGTAGCTGTGCCATCTAGTCTTGATAGCAGAATGGAGAGAGCCAGGCTGCAAGGGAGATACAGGGTGGGGAGGTGGCTTCTCTGAGCAACTGAGGTGGGATCAGGTGGAATCAGGAAGGAGGTGAAGTTGCTTGGGAGAGTGGGGGCCTTTAAGTGAGGAAATGGCAGTGAGCAGAGCAGACGGATGGCGGGATGGCGGGGCGGGGGTTCTCCGTGGAGAGTGGTGTGCGTCCTTGGGCCCCTGCATTGAACCGCCATTGGATGCCTAAGAATGGCTAACACACCAAGACCCAAGGACCCCTGCCCCCAGAAAGTATTGGGGGTTAGGGACATGGCCCAAAGGTAGATGCAGGTGCCATATACTTATATAGGGGTAAGCACCATACATTGTCTCTCTCACCCCAGGTCCTACGAGGTTTAAAATTCACTTTTGTAGTATATTACTTATATATTCACAGTTCAGTGGTTAATAGAGTGCTTGTTTCGCTTCACTTCTGGGTTCTTATATTATTTGTGCCATTTAAAAGCAACGCTTAGTACTGGAGAGCTCATACGCGGGGAAAGTCCTTTTCTTGCACGTCCTGGACCCGCAGTTGGATCCCAGCACCGCCAGGTGTAGCCCGATCTCGTTCCCCACCCAAAGGAAAGCAGTGCTTAATTTCTACATACAGATACATGCTTGAACATCCTTACATCAGTAATAGCACTACGTGTTTTCCATAGCAGAACTGCCAATCAGACCTTCCTAGAATGCCACTGTTCACTACTCTGCATCTTTCTCAGTCTTTCACGGGAGGAATGCGTATCTTCCATGTACAGGAAAAGTGACGTCTGAATATTCAGAGTGGTGTCTCTGGCTTGGCAGCTGCTCTGCAGATCTACTCTGTGACTGCTGTCACAGTCTCTGTTGAAGGAAGACCTCTGGGTATGGGCTGGCCGTGTCCTGAAGGGCCTTCAGAGGCATCCCTGTGCCCCGTACCTGTTTAGTTCTTGTCTATTTTTATATTTTATAAAGTAGTTCACAATATTTGATTACATTTAATATTCAAACACCAATCCCACTACCATACACCACCTTCCCACCACTGTATCTCGGATGTTTCCATCCCGAACCCCTACCCCTGCCCCAAAACAGAATGAAATAATACATTATTTCCCTCTAAGGTTGGTTGCCTCCTACTTTGAATCCCATCAAAAGTGGTGTGGCCCTCTGGAGTATGGGTAGGATGTGTCCTGTGAAGTGTCACGCAGCCACGCTCTCCAGGAAAAGGTTCACTCGAGGGTGAGGTTCGGCCTGAGTGTGTGGAGAGCAGCCAAGAGCATGGCAGCTGTTGAGTTCTGGAGGTTTTCGGCTGCCAAAGCTGAAGTCCCTTGGGGCGGGGAGGGGTCTCACCTGCCCCCCTCTGGGGCACCCCTTGTGAAACAGCCTGGTGCGGGTCCAACAGCATGGTTCTAGTTCTCATTTAAAACATGAATTTTTTTTTTTTAACTTGTGGTGGAAAAAATGAAACTTTGTGAAATCCACACTTATACATCTTGGGAGCAGATGTGGGTAGAGAGAAATGTTTCTTCTCTTCTACTGCTGGACCTTTGGGGTCTTGTGTGTGGCCCCTGATTCACTTCATACGGAGAGCCTGACCCTGGGCAGGGAGTCGGCCCCGTCCTGCTGCGCCATCGTGGCAGCTCACAGGGATTGAAGGTCCCGTCTTCATCGCTCGGGAGGTACCTCTGGATGTCTCTGCCATACGCCTTGAGTCTGTGTGGCTAGTTCTGTTGCACTTTTGGGGGGCGTTGGGTTTCTCTTCTCAGTGACTGCTATGCTGATGGCCACCGCATAGCAGCCTGGAAGATTGATGGCACTTTCAGTAGGGAGCCCCTTTGCAGGCGCCATTGAAACCTCGTTGTCCAGGGTACTCCCTACGTCCCTTTTCGTTTTGATGCCTGGACATCATTCCGCTGGAGGCGTTCGTCATCTCTGCATTTCCCAGAATTCGGAGTGTTTTCCTGCTAGCCATGTGCCCCTCGCTTCCAGCCCGCTTCCCAGCAGTGTTGGTTACCAGCGAGGTCCCTCTGTTCCCCCATTGCGTGCATCCATAGTATCGTTCTCTTCTTTGCTAGGCAGAAGATGGTGTGACTGATTGTGCTCTGCGGGCTGGCACCCTGGCAGAGCAGGAGTGAGTGTGTGCCCATCGGCCTCTCCAGCCCTGTGAGTCTGAAGCCTTTCGGCATGTTTTGGCATCACGGCCAGACATGCATTGAACTCCTTCCTAGTCGTCAGTGTGTCGGATGATTACACTGTGGCCAAGAGTCTGTCCTGGTCCTTTGTGTCTCTTCTTTTTCCTTTTCCCTTTTTTTTTTTTTACCTTTTGTCAGTGTGTGTGTGTGTGTGTGTGTGTGTGTGTGTGTGTTGTGATGGCGGCTTAGGCTTGATGCTGGTGGTGCACGAAAACACACACTGTGTCACAGGGGCAGACCAGCGGTATGAGGTTGGCAGATGGTGAGGAACTGCTGGAAGGGCGTTCCGCCCCGGAGCTGCCGCCTGAACTGTGTTCTGCTCGCTCTCACCCCAGCCCATCTTGTGCCGTGTTCATGCATCTCCTTACCTCCCCATTGCTTGCCCGCGGCGCTTCTTAGTGATCAATAGACGGGGGTTGTCCCGCATGCCTTTGACAGGGGGGAACAAGGAAGTTTTGCAGAGTGTCCAGCAGACCGTGGAGGCTTGGTTCATTGCTCCTGTCCTCTCTGGGGGCTGAAGGCTGCACCCTGAGCAGGGAAAGAGCAGGGGGTAGGGCGGCCTCTGTGGCACGGGACCTGGCTATGAGGCTGTGGCAAAAAAGCTGTACTTCCAGGACCAGGAGACCTTCCAGCGGCCGGAGTGCCCTGGCTCAGGGCCCGGAGTACGGCAGCACTCTGGCCACAAGGTCCCGGTGGTGTGACTGCAGCCTCCTGAGTGCCCCGTGGAAGGGGGGAGCGGGTAGCCGGGCCCTCTGCCCCGTGGTAGGAGAGGACTTGTGCTGGCGAGAGGCTGCGGGCAGCCAGCGGTGGCCTTCCCTTCCCGAGGACCTCCCACAGCTCACTCCAGAGTAAATGCTGGGAAGAAAGTGGAGAACGGGAAATTAGCATCTTTAATTGGGACTCTCCGAAGTGGAGTGAACTTGATCTGCCCATATTGCGGTATATGTAACCGTTCTTTTCCGGTTTTCGTCATATGAAATGCCTTTCTTGTGGTTATTGGTTAGAAGTATTCTGCCAAGGGATGGAACATCCGATAAGGTAAGGAGGACTGTAACAGACTACTTTATTCCCCAGAGTGGAGAGATGAAGTTACCCCTTCAGCTGGGAGAGAATCTAATGCCCGGCATGTGAGCTGAATTTAATTCCAACATCTTTAGTGTACAATTAAAAAAAAAATTATCAACGAAAATTGTTGTGAAAACTTTTATTTATTTATTTATTTATTTATTGTTCAGGAAACCTGATTCCAAAGCAGGGAAATCAAAATTTTTAAACTCCGTATTTGGTTATAGTCTTTGGGGTCAGCAGTTATGGTTTTTGTTGATTACCACAAGTGTCAAACTGCAGATATGATTGAGTTGCAGGTTTATTTATCCCATGAAGCAACTGTAGGTGCTATTAATTGTATTGTGTTACGGGCATTCCTCAAGTGACAAGTCTCTCTCACAGTAAATAGTCGGTCCACATGATCCGGCCTTCCATTAGATGTGACTGGCTCCCTTCCCTGCTCCTTCATCTTGAATCTGGGTTTTTAATGATGTATGGTAAAAGAGCCAATGGCATATTTCCTGTTGAAGTGAACTAAGCGTTTGGATTATTGGAATTTATTATTTGGGGACATCTGGCTCATCCTTGTTTTTGTTTGTTAAACAGGAAAAGGACCAGCGCAGCCTAGACATAAACACTGCCAAGTGCATGTTGGGACTGTTACTAGGAAAAATCTGGCCCCTTTTTCCAGTTTTTCACCAATTCTTAGAGGTACCAAATTGTTATTTTATGGCATGTATGTTTGCTTGCTTCGAACTGCTGGGTTTGATGTAATTTGCTTTTTGTTCTTTTCTGCCTCTAGGAATTCTGGGGTCGTCTTTGCTAATCCTGAGATCCACCTGTCTTCTCCTGTGTGTGTGTGTCTGTGTGTGCCTAGACCTGTCTCTATGTGTGTCTGTGTATGTGTGTGTGTGTGTGTGTGTGTGTGTGTGTGTACCTAGAACTGTCTGTGCGTTGTCTGTATCTGTGAATAAAAGTGTGTCGCGGGGGGAGGGGGAGTTCCTGGTACGATGCTGCTTTTGGTGGCCAAGAGCTGCTTCTCAGTGGAGGGACAAAGAGAGAGACAGGTACCTCAGACTTGATGGTCAATGGACGCTTAATTCAGAACCGAATTAAGTATTCTGAGAATCTTCTAGAGAATCTGAGGGGGTCCAAGGTATAGGACTGCAGGTGGGTGTGACCGATCACTTACAAAGGTAAAATATTTTGACAGAGGTAATTCAGGGGGGATTAACTCAGGGAGACACTCTGAGACAGTACTGAGAAACTCGAGGGGCTGCACATATCTATATTGCTTTTCTCTTTCCCTTGCTGCTAATACATATTAAACAATTCAGTTTACTTCTTACTAATATTTGCAGTTATTTGAGTAAACACAGTAAAGGATAAAGATTCCAAAACTTAGTTCTCTGGGCTAGGGAGAGTGAGGGGCTGAGGTTAAAAGCCAGCCGGGCTTTCACTGTAAATCCCAAACTAAGTCCTCAGGCTGGTGTAGCTTTTCCTACCCCATGGGGTCCTGTCTTTCAGATCATTATGGCTTTATCAAGATGTACTTTATGATGTCTAGACTGTCCCATATTGAAACCAGGGTGGCTTTGCTGCTTGCCCCGGGTCTACCTACACATCCTTTGGTGGGACCCAGCTTTTGGAGGTGTCAGGAACTATGGCAACTGAAGCCTGAGTCAAGTAATTATGACAATGCCCAGGAGTAGATGTATTTCAGAGTTAGTCAGCTCCCAAATACTAGGATCATAGCATTAGCGGTCTTTCTGTGTTTAAGCAAAGAACACTGTTTTATAATAATATAAAAGGTTATAGGGGAAAGATAAAAGGCAAATAATTCACTAACAAATACAAAAACTCCAGAGTCACCAGAAGGTTTTTAAAACACTTAGGGTTAATATTGTGTGTGTGTGTGTGTGTGCGTGTGTGTGTGTGTGTGTGTGTGTGTACATGCACGTGCGTGCACACGCCTATACCTGTATCTGTGTCTGTGAGGGTCTCTACTTATCTCTGTCAGTGTCTATGTGTGTATATCTGTCTATATATCTCTTTGTGTCTATACCTGTGTCAGTGTCTGTGTATCTGTGTGTCTGTTACTGTGTCTGTGAGTGTCTGTGTGTACATGTCTGTCTGTGTGTGTGTCTGTATACTGTGTCTGTTAGTGTGTCTGTTACTGTGTCAGTGTGTCTGTATGTGTGTCTGTGTGTGTCTATACCCGTGTCTGTCTGTTTCTGTGTCTGTGTGTCTATACCTGTGTGTCTGTGTCTGTGTGTCTGTGTATTTTTGTCTTATGTCTATATGTGTCTATGTATGTCTGTACCTTGTCTGTTTCAGTTTTTGTGTGTGTCTGTGTGTCTCTGTGTGTACATTTCCCTCCCCGTCTACCTGTAGCAGAAACAGCTGGGACTGCCCTTCCCCAGCCCCCTTCCCTTTTAGGAGCACTACTTTATTTAGGTTTCCTGGTCTTTCTGACAAGAGAAAAGCCAAGTTTCACTTGCTTTTAGAACTTTAGATTCTTACTATCAAACCAAGGTTAAAAAACAGTCTATCTGCCTTCTTATTAAAATAAATTTGTGATGTATTGTCTACTCTTACCTATCCGTAATTCTAAGGGACTTTCGGTTAAGCTAAGTGTTAGGCAAAACTGACACTATCTTTAAAGTTTTCACATTTGTGTTAGAAGTGGTTCAGCCCCACAGCTCCATTATTGTTGTGTTTGCTTTAAGTAAGTATAGATGATCAGGAATTTTGAACTGCTGCTCTTGATATGGTGTATTCAACCTGTAGCACCCAGAAGTTTCTAAGATGTAAATCTGAATTACCAGGGCTGTTTGGAAATGGCATCTTTCTTGCCCTTCCGCTCTGCTCTTTTAACAAATGTCCTACGCTTAAAAGGATGAGGGGCTTTGTAGAAAGCTCAGCCCTCTTCCCGGCCCTGCATTCACTCTTGGAATCATCTATGACTGACAGTTCACTCTCTGTAATGGTCCAGAAGAGCTTCATCAGATAGGACTCTTTGGGGATGCTTTCTCTTAACACCACCAACTAGGATTGCTCAAGAAAGGTCCAGAAGCTAGTTTCAATGTAAAGAAGTACTTGTCATGTACCGGTCCAGATCTGTACCCGATCTGCTGTAGTTTCTCAGCAATCCCATGACATAAGGTGACTCCATGTGGGGTACTGACAGGAATAGGTGTTTGCTCCTCGAGCGGAACAGGATTTCAGGCTGGGAGTTGGGGGCTTGGGCGAGGGGTTGTCTCTGCAGAGACAGACCCTGCTGTGAGCCACAGTGGCTGCCCACTCCCACAGCACCGCCTGTGCCCACTGGCTGGCCTCGCTGTCCCTTGCCTGTGTGGTAGTCTGTTCCCCTCTCTCGCACATGCGTTTGTGTTTTTCCTGCAGAAGGACACCACGGACCCATTTCCCATGTGCTTCCCGTATTTGTCTCCTTGCAGCCATTGGCTCTGCCCTGTCCGCTTGGGCCGTTTCCCCATGTTTCTAACCTCTGTGGTCTTAATATTGTTGAATGTGGGTTTTATTTTTGAGTCCTGATACAGGAATACAGTGCATTTTTTAAAACATATGGAGGATGTCTAGGGGGAGTAGAAAAATCCCCTCCTGGCAACGTTGGATGGTCAGATTCTTGTTTAAAAACGATTAGGGGCTGGAGTGATAGATAGCACAGCAGGTAGGGAGTTTGCCTTGCACGTGGCCAACCCGGCTTCGATTCCCAGCATCCCATATGGTCCCCCGAGCACCACCAGGAGTAATTCCTGAGTGCAGAGCCAAGAGTAACCCCTGAGCATCACTGGGTGTGACCTCCCAAAAAATAAATGAAATAAAAATGAAAATAAAATGATTAGACTAGTCATTTTCTTCCAAGAGTCCATAGTGCTGAGCCGGTTCGCTGTCTTGGCCAGTTCTAGCGGGTGCCCCAGCTGCTGCCTGTCCTTGCAGCTGACAGCTTGGCCATGTCAGAGATGACAGCTGGGGTCCTCTCTTCCTGGAGCACTTTACGCCAAGCACTGAATGAAATACTGTACATTAAGCACTTATAATCCTTGCAAGATCTCTGGCAAATAGATTTCGTTTCCCTTTGATATAAAAAGGTCTCTGTAGCCTGGAACCTTCCACTTTGGGCATATCAAGTTGTAGTTCTTTGACGAGTTTGCCATTTGGGGCCGAACCCCACAGTATTTGTGTAGTGAAAGGAGTTGTCTCCAGCCCTCCTCTTGCTCACACTCTCACCATTTTCCAACCTGGGGGCTTGAGACACCTCAGTGGAAAGAGCCGGCCTTCCTGGACCTTCCTAAGTTGATTTCAGACAGCAGTGGAAACCTGTCCCAGCTGTTATGTCAGTAATGCGTATGATTTTTCCTTCCAGCAATCAAAATATAAAGTTATTAACAAAGACCAGTGGTGCAATGTGCTAGAATTTAGCAGAACAATTAACCTTGACCTCAGCAACTACGACGAAGACGGAGCGTGTAAGTACAGCCCCGCTGTTTGCTCCCTCACCCCCGAACCTCCCGCATCCCCGCCTCCCTGCCCTCAGTGCCAAATGCATTGTCTTCTCTCTCTCCCCCCCACACCCCACCCCCTCCTTATTTCCCTCCTCAGGGCCAGTTTTGTTGGACGAGTTCGTGGAGTGGTATAAAGACAAGCAGATGTCCTAGGACTTGATGCATCACAGCGAGAGAGTTCCTGTTACCACAGTTTTGTCCACCATTAGCCATAAATTGCTGTTTGTATCAAAGCGCATGCTGCTTTTCTTGCACTGTCTCCCTTCTGCAGGGACGTGTTGGTGTTTGCTATTGAATGGGCCAGCTCTGCCTGCCGTGTAGCATTGTTCTCTTGGAAGGCTGCTTTGCAGTTGTCTTTCCACTACAGATTGGTGAATTTGCCAACGTCCTCACTGTGATTATGTGTATATTGCTGTTTAAATTTTGTATATGTGTATAAAAAAACAAAAGCTTCACCTAGAGATTATTTCTGCAAAAATGTATTGTAAAAATAATTTTGTGGCATATTTCTAGTCCCTCTTTTTTTTTTTTTTTCAAATGAACCAGTTCTACTTTATTTGGTCTCAACTGTAGCATTTCAGGAACCCAGACAGGAATGACGGATACTGTGAGCAAACGTTGCCAGAATTCACTGTATTTAAGAGGCCAACTTTGGGAAGGAGGTGGGAGTTAGAACTTTTCAGAGGCACATGCCAAATAGAATCTGGTTTACTTAGACGGTAGCATTTTAAAAATGAAAGTTATAATTATTTGAACATATAAACACATACCATGCCACAAATCCATCTCCAACATGCGAGGTGTAGGGTTTTTTTTTCTAATGTTCAAGCTGTAGTAATTTGAGTATAGGTACAAATAAATTAAAATAGCACTTTTTTTTTTATGGGGTTTAAAGTCTCGTAAGCTTTCTTTAGTGTCTTTGATTTGGGGGGTATTTTTGTTTGTTTGGGTTTTTGTTTTTTGGGGGTTTTTTTTTGTTTTGTTTTGTTTTTTTGTTTTTTTATTCCTCTAGTCAGTGTTCGGGCTGCTGATGCTTTCTGTGCCATTCTGAGTGCAGTTGATCTTTGCCTCCTTTATGAAAATCAAACGGTTTGCTGGCAGTCTGCAATTGCAGAGCACTTTCATTTGCGGCTTGAATCTTTAGTTGACTGTTCATGATGTCTACCTTTCTAGTTTTTGGTTTTCCTTGTTTTGTTTCTGTTTTTTGTTTTTTTTTTTTTTTTTGTCCTGAAAAAAGAACTATCCTGTAAGTGAGAGGAGATTTTTGTTTTCTTCTTTCTTTTTTTTTGTTTCTTTCATGCTAGGCTTTTCCTGGCAGAATGTCCATTGCAGGCAGTGGACACGGAACCACCAGCATTGAGCTAACCCTTACACGGGAGGGCCTTTCCTGGAAGGCCCGCTCGTCATTGCCTGAGTAACTTACACAGAAGGGTGAGAGCCATTATTTATGTGGGTGAGGAAATAAGAAGAAACAGGATGGGTTTGGGGGGGTGGGGGAGGGCTTGTATTTTATTGTCTTTATTTTTTTTTTTCCTCGCCCTTGCCTTACCCTTCTTGAGAAAATGTGTAGATAACATGTTTTTCCCTCAACTATCTGGTGCTATTGAATGACTAATTTAGTCCCTAAAGTTTTGTGAAAACTTTAAAACACAAAAGTCTAATATTTTCAACTAAGTCAAAAGCTAATGGTGCACTTGAACAAGTTGAATACTATATATATATATATGTGAGCAAGAGCCATGATTGGGCATGCAGTGGTTGGAAGAAGTTTGGATTATTTTGAAATCTGGCCAAAAACAGATCTGTTGGACTTAATGTGAACCTTTAAATGGCATCATATGAGTGAAGCACACAGACAATGCTACTCTCTCTTTCTCTCTCTCTCTCTCTCTTCCTCTCCTTCTCTCTTCCTCTCTCTCTCTCCAACCCCCCTCCCGCAAGCAGTGTTCAGATTTTCAGATTTTTTTTTCCTAACTGAACCACCAAAGACAGACATTTTGTATGTAATAATATACAGTGCGTGTGCATATACAAAATCATGATATGGTAGAATCAAATTACTTCCTTTTTCTACCGAATAGAAGGGTTTGGTTTGCTGTGAAATAAACCAGAAGTTTGAAAAATTCTGTAATGATTAAATATACTTCATCATTCCTTGTTTAGGAATTGTAGACTCACCATTTACCTTATAAATTCCAACCAGTTTGTACAAATGAGTATCAAAAAGGAGAAGATGTTGATGGCAAAACAAGCACAGCTCTTGAGCGTTGAGATGTCCCATTGTGGGGTGGGATGGGGGCTGGGTGCAGAGCGGGGCCTGGCCATCGGCAGTTTTGGATCTGTGGAGAACTGAACCGGGTTCATTTCCAGAAATATCCCATTAAGTTAAGAAAAATCACTTGAAAGGAACAGTTCTTGCATTTTATCAGCTACAATTTGTTTAAAGCAAACAGATAAAATTATTTTAAAAGTTATTGTTAGGAAATGGAGAATTTTTAAAACACTAAGCACAGTTACTCCTACAAATAAAAGCATTCTTGTGAGGGAGACTCTGCCTTTGATCTACAACAAACATTTCAGTGATGATGGGGTGGGAGAGCCCAAGTACCTATCCCAGAGGATAATCTTGTGTTAGAAAACTCTAAATAACGTACTTGAAAAAACACTCGAATGCAGAGTGCTTATCCTTCATCATCTTGCTTTGATGCAGTTCACAGCAGAGGGAGATAGGAGGGCCGGACAGAGTACTAAGTTACTTTCTCCATCTGTCCCCACCTTACATCAAATCAAGCAATCATCCAGCTTATTTACTGACTAATGTTAAATAAATTAGGGTGCCTTCTTCAACCCTTTTTCTTTTTCCATTGTGTTTTGAACTCCACATTGCAATACTCTGTCGTAATGGAATACAGCATTTAGATGTTCACTTGCTGCAGTAGGTCAGAAATTTCATTATTTGATTTGAAATAATGACACTCACTGTCATGTCCCATGCAGCTTTTTGAAGCATGAAACTCTGAATTAAGTTGTTATAAATCTGACTTAGATAAACCTCTAGGTTCTGGTTTTAACAGTAGATTTCTTTTGCCTCTCAATTTCCATTTTAACAGTGCTTTTGAAGTTTAGACAGAAAGCTTTACAAGTTAGTTTGTGCCCTCGGTTTTTATTCTTAAAACTGCTAAAATACCTCTGTAAGCCTTATCTTTTATTCTTTTCATATGTTGTATAATAAATGTATAGAATTCATTGACCAACTAAAATGTTGGGTGTCTGGAAATGAGACCAAAACATGGGTTGCTTTTTTCCATAAGATAATTTCTCTTGGGGGTTACTGTTATGAAGAGCAGCTAACCTATAACTGTGAATGCTTTGTGTCGTCAGTATTTGCATTACATTCATAAACGTGTGCAAGTCCTGTGACTCCCAGCTTAACTAAAATACTGTTATGCCACCTAACTTGAGTACAGCAAACTGGTTTTAGTTTTTAATGGAATTGTTGTAAACTGATAACCCATAAATAAAAAGTATTTGTGTTTGGTTTCAGAACTGATTTGTGAATTTATTCTTCTCACTTTTCTTTAAAAAAAAAAAATCACTGAAGCGGGCCAGAGAGATAGTACAGGGGGTAAGGAGTTCCTTGCCTTGCTTTTGACCGGGCCCAGTTTGAATCACTGGCTCCAGAGATGGTCCCTCAGGCACCTCCAGGAATGACCCGGAAAACTACCAGGTGTGGGGTCACGTTCCCCTCCTGCAAGCCAAAACAAATACCTGAAAGTAGCTTTAAAATATTTCCTGTTTCTCCTAGTAGTGCAGGGGCTAAGTAAGCGCTTGCCTAACATGCAGCCGATCCTAATTTACTCCCCAGCATCGCCTTTGCCAAGAGTGCCAGGAGTGATCCCTGAGCACCACTGGGTGTAGCTCAAAAACAATACAAGCTACTGAAAGTGGTCTTCTTTTTTTATCCCCCTCCCCTCTTTTCTGGGTACCCTTGGATGTGCTCCAGGCTTACTCCTGGCTCTGTGCTCAAGGGTCTCTCCTGATGGGGCTCAGGACTGCCGGGGAATCAAACCTGGGTTAGCTGCCCTACCTTCACCCATGTGTTACCTCTCTGACCCCTGATGATGGTTTTAAATTATTCTTCCCTGTTTTTCTCAACCTTCTACGTTAAAAAATGTCAAAGCTATAGAAAAATATGTAGCAGTAGTCACAAGTCATCATGTATACCTGTTACCTGGCTTTTTTAGTCATAGTTATGTGGTTGGTTTCCCATGCCACTAAGTGTTGATGGGTATGTGTAGGCCTCTATGTAGAGACGTTTCTTTTACTGGAAGAAGGAATTACATTTATACATATAATGCTTTACTCCTAGTATTTAAAAGTATGAAATCCCTCCAGATTTAATTGTTAAAATTTTGGAATTTCAAAATCGCGCAGTCACTACTGCAGCCACACAACATCATATGTTATTCATAACCAGCAATAGAAAACAAATTGTCTACAGTTGCCTTTTCAGCAGATCTGAGTGTTGGGGTAAAATCTCAATAATGGTGGGTCTGGTGTCAAGATATTGAATGGGATCAAAGTAGAGAGAGAGTAATGTGGAAATCATCTGCCCCACAGGTAGGGGGAGGGTTTGGGATGAGGGTATACTGGGGTTGTTGGGCGTGAAGAATGGGCACTGGTGAAGGTACGGGTGTTTCATTATACAACTGAGACTTAGACCCGAAATCTTTGTAACTGCTCTCACGGTGATTCAATAAATAAAATTATAAAAAATGAAAAAAAAAAGTAAGGTGGAGTTCATGCCCAATTCAATCAGCTAATCAGTGGCTGAATAAATAACAGTACTCCTACATTAAAAAAAAAAAGTATGAACAGTCCTGTAACAGCAAGAAAGTAGCTGGGTTGTATTATATAATCATATTAATCCTGTAATTCAAGAATTTAACACTAATAGAAGACTGTTGCTTAAGCAGTTCCGATTAATGTCTTCCCCATATGTACCATTGTGGCCTAGATAGCTCTTTCGTCGTCTAAGGATACACATTGTCTTCTTGCCCCTTCGTCTCTTAACATGGACCAGTTCCAGATACAGTTGTTTACTAGACACTTTTTGTTAAAAACAGTACAAACATTCTTCAACTAAATTGTGATTTTTTTTAAATTCACTATCAAATACTATGCATCTAAACATTGAACAAATAGTTGCTTCCTACATCCCAGGAACTATGCAGAAATGATAGCTTTTACTGTCCCCAAATCTGTCATCCAGTTAGCCCCTTGGACCGGTATGTTGACTCTCTTGATGGCAGGACCCCTAGCACCTGGGAAATGTATGTGGAGGAAGCAAGTTAACACTCTCTACTTAGCAAAGCGTTCCCAAGCTTTAGGAAACCTGGCTTCTGTAAAGATCAGAGTAGCCAGGAGCTGGATACGGCACTTGTCTTGCCTATGGCTGACTCGGGTTGGCTCTTTGGCATCATAAATCGTCCCCCTGAGTCTCACCAGGAGTGATCCCTGAGCAGAAAGCCAAGAGTAAGCTTTGAACATACTGGGGATTGTCCAATTTCAACTGAATTGTGATTTTTTTGGGGGGGTCACATCTGGCATTGCATAGGGGTACTCCTGGCTCATGCACTCAGGAATTACAACTGGCGGTGCTCAGGGGACCATATGGGATGCTGGGAGTTGAACCCAGGTTGGCCGTGTGCAAGGCAAATGCCCTACCTGCTGTGCTGTCTCTTCAACCCCTGTGATTTTATTCTTTTAAAAATCTAGATAACAAGAACCGGATGTATATTGTGATTCTTCAACTGTACTTGGGCCAAAAACTGAGGATCAAACCAAGAAAATTGTCAAACATCCATGAAGAGGAAGGA